GGCGGTGACGCGTGATAGTATTTTAACAAATTCGCTAGATCTGCCCCCAATTTAAGAAGTTGCGTTGCGGTCCTCCTGGGGGAGACCTCAATGGGATGCATTTCTAATCCCTTCCTGAGCCCCTCCTGCTGCGTGTGCTAAAAGTAGCTGAGGCCCCAGAACTCTTTGCAGAAGTTCTCTCCCTCCCTCCCTGCAGACCGAGGCTTTGGCAGCCAGAATCCCCACTTAAGAGCAGCCCCAAGTTCTGGTCCCAGCCAGGGGCAGGCTGCTGGCGCTTGGTCCCCAGGTGCCTGCTTGCGGGGAGCAGCTGCGCCAACTGGAGTCCTGGTGGAGTCAATGAAGTGCAGCCGGAGGAGGATCCTGCGCCCGGAGGAGCAGAAGGAGCTCCAGGGCGTAGTCTATCGCGGTGTGAAGGTCAACATGGACAGCTCCAAGGAATCCTTTAAGGTACCGGGCGATTGGCGGTTGGGACAAGGCAGGGAAAGGCTCCGGGCAGGGCGATAGGAGACTAGACAGAGGATTCCTTGCCATCAATATTTGGATACTTTTGTGCACAAGCACATGAAGCAACCAGCGTGGGGGACACTAGGACTGGGAGGCTACTGGATGCTAGCACCTCCGGAGCGCTGCTCCGGATTCCAGAGCCTGGGGTCACAACTCAGAACGCGCCTCCACAGTGCCTGTTTGCTCAACTGGGTATTGCTAGGGTGGAGTTAATGCAATAAGAGATCTGCCCCCAAAGGAATCAGAATCCAACGACTGCATACAATCAGGATAAATTTGGAGTGTGGGTCATTTCACTTGAACATTTTATAGAACATTTTATAGTCGAATGGCCGAAGATCTGTCAGTCAGAGAGCTGTCCAGCAAGTGAGTTGGGGTCTAGAAGCATTCTCGATAAAAGTGCCCCAGAGAGCTCAGCGCTTGCAAATGATGCTTTATGGAGAAGAACTCAGACTGGCAGTGGGGGGCATCATCAGGACTGCAGGGGGAGACCTAGTGAAGATAGGTGTGTGGCTACCATGGGACCTCGGTTTCTTGGCTCCCATACTTTTTTTTTTTTTTTTTTTTTTACCTAAAGGCAGCACCCAATACCAAGCAGATGCTACAGTCCTGGTCGGAAGGCAGTTGAATGCTCAGAAAACCCATTAGATTTCCTTAGCTTGACAGCAAGAAGGGAGGAGCACTTTAGAAATGTCAAGGCATTAGCAGCAGCTTTTTAAACCCCACCACAAATTCCTTTCTGCAGTGGAACCTTGTTAATACCTTCTTAAGTAATTTTCAGGGGAAAATCCTTGTACACATATCCACAGAACATTCCTTAATTTACAATTGTGTGAGTTCACAGAGACTTGCATTTTGCTTTACTCCCAAAATATCTTTTAAAATGATTTCCAAATCCATACTTGGAAATGTATCTCTTTCTAACAGCCTCACAGTATTCTATTGTATAGAATAATATATCATGATTTGTTTAACCCATTATATGCTGATAGACATAGGACGCTTTTTGTTTGTTTTACTGTTTCATTAGCTTTGTTGAGTTTGTCTGTGACTGTAAATGTGGCTTCTCAGCCTGTCTCAGTAACTTTGTGAACATTTCTCTCTGTTAAAGTCCTAATGGAGGCATGAGGTAAGCATGGGTTTAATTTTGGTGGAGACTACTAAACTGTTGTTTAGACAGGCAGCACTGCCTATCACCTTTGTGAGTCAGAGGTAGTGTCCTGTCTGGCCTCAAAACAGCCACATGCCAGGCCCCTGAGGTGAGTCTGTTTGCATATCCTGATTTGGTATCATTGCTCCCCATCCCCACTTAATAGTAACATATCAACCAAGAGTTTTGTACTTACTCTGAAAACCCCAATCATGAGTGGTTTTCAGTCCCTAGGATGCTGTTTACCATTAGCACCAGGCAGGGATAAATTATAAGATTTCAAAAATCCCTCATGTAGCTCAGTTTTCTAGAGATTTGCAGAAGACTTTCTATCATTCAGTCCCAATCTTTTCTTCACATTTTTATTTTAGTGTCTTTATTTAGTTTTGCTGACCAAACCAAGTGGAGCCATTTATGTTCTTTAAGGTTACATTAGGGTTTATAGAGTCAGATATTTAGATATTATATTAACTTCAGTAATTCCAGATGATTCTGAAAAATCCAAGAGGTTATACTCATTTCACAGCAACATATGTAACTCAATGGAAAGTTTTGAACTCTAGGATTTCTTAGTAGCTTCTCTATTTGAAAGAATGAGGTTTACAATACACCCCCACACACACATAGAGCTTCAGAGATGCTATCATAACTGAAGATTTACAGAAATTTTGAAAAACGAGAAATGTGGAAAAAACACATTAGTTAGATGCCCTCTGCCATTTTCTGTAAATCGTTCAGAAGAGATGCTATTTTGGCAATTAGCTCTTCCTTTGCTCTGTTGCTTTGCTCTCTCACCTCTCTCACCGTAGGTTTTTTTTTTTTTTCCTTCTTTGGCTTCATTCTGCTTAGATTGTTTTCATTAAAGCAAACCTAAACAGACAGGTTTGAGCGCTCCAATTTAAAGGGCCTAATTTAGAATTAACGTCACTAAAAGTGAACATAGTCCCATAACTCAGAATTTGAGGGCTCAGTGACTCCTCAGGGACAGGAAACTACTCTGAATGAATTCTTCTATATTATGTAACATTTAATCCCCCAGAGGCTCACATACACAACATAGGAAGAAGTAACCAAACCACACTGCAGTTCTGGGACAACACTGAGATTAAAATGATTTCTTAGTATGCTTTTCAAATTCAAAAATATACAATCAAGCAAGACATTTGCTTACATTTTTCCCAAGGCTGTTTCTTTCTTTCCTTTTTTTTTTTTTTTTACAATTTTTTAAATTATTTATTTAATAACCACATAATTAGAAGCATTTCATTACAACAGCTTTAACATATTCAACAACAATTTCCAGAGCTAAGATGCATCTGTTTCAAGAGTGGCTAAATTTTTGGTTTACAGTTGAATTAATACAGTTACACAATATTGTACTCCCTATAAGACATAAAATTAAATGAGGTTTTAAACTTTAAAAAAGATCTCCATTTCATTATTAAAATACACA